ATTGGAGAATTCTTGAATGAGCAAGGCACTCGCCTAGTCTGTTGCTATACAAGGGGTCCTCTGAATGATAAGTCATCCAAAAGGATCAATAGCACATCTTGGTGCGAAGCCTAAAATAGAGCATCACAAAGAGTACCTGAGCATGACAGTTGTGGCCAGAGACTCAGAGTGTGCACCAACTTGGAAGGCGATGCACACTGCAAGCTACGCATGTGACAGAAGATGAGTAATCACACCTCTAGACTCCATAAAGAGTCTCTCAGGATTCATTATCAGTCAAGAACCCCATGGCCAAGTGCAGCACCTTGCACCTGGTGATTAACCAGTCTCATTTGCAGAGAAACTGACAAGTGCATCTTTTCTAAGTAGCTCCCAAACTATTTAGGAACCTCCTCAGAGAGACAGTATTATTTGCTGACAGAGAGGGTTGAGAAAATTATCAGAGTATACTGACCAGAAACTAAGGAGCTCTTTACCAAGTCAGGCAGATGACTGACACCACAACACTGAAAAAAAAAAATTATCTGAAATCCTTCATAAATCAGAAAGACTAAAAAAAAAAAAAAAAGAAAGAGAGACCCCCCCAAGACAAGAAGATAACTGCAATTACGGGGAAAGCTGGCAATACCAGCAGCAAGCTAAGTTTCTAGTCAGACAAGCAAGGGTGCGCTGCCCAGTAGCCTCTTCCACCTATTAGGAGCTGGCTAGGGGAGTCAGAAACAGGAACTGGTAACTCTGTGGTTGGTGGTGCCACAATCCTCCCTGCAGTTCTCATGGCTAAGTGCTAGTTATGCTTGTGCCCAGGGAACCCAGAGAACGTGCAGTCCCATGGCACACGCTAAACTTAACTGAAAAGTACTCTACTTCGGGCAGGAATGGACCCTGAATGCCAAAAGAGGAACATGCAGACTGACCTGTTGCTCCACCACAGTTCAGCAGTCTGCATGTCTTGTAAGCATCCACAAGTAAGTATAGAATATGAGTGCCAAGAGCATTAGCACAATAACAACAGAACAGCTGACAACAAAGACTTCTCCAGAAAAGATGAGGGACATAACAGTCTAGCACCAATGGCCTCAATTCTGAGTTGTCGGTGAAGGTAACCGTGTCAGAGGTAGCTGCAGAACCAAGTGCCAAGAACACAGTTTGAACACAGATGGACACCATATTCTGTTAGAGCTATGGGTGCACTTCTGCAGCAGCAGCAGCAGCTACTCACCCATTTTTTCAAGATTCAGCTTGTCTGACCAGGCCAATCTTTATGACTCTCTGGAGAAGTCTAAGCTGTAGCACTGTGGATCGAGATCTGAAAAAGTGGCTATGCTAGCAGCAGGTCTAAGGTCCAGTCTCTTGATTGAAGGCCTAACTGGTTGATGACCCCTCAGACAATCCAGGAGAGCGCTCAATACATGAGATGCTGAGTTCAAAACAATGCTTGGCTTCACACAGGCTGTAGGCTCAGGAGGAGACACTGCATCAACTACACCCAAAAATCTCAGCAGAAATTACTGCATGCCGCACTTTTATTCTTGTACATGCTGCAGCTGGAAGGAATGGACCTTTTCCTGAGGCTATAAAGCACCAAGTATGGGGTAGATGCTAGGATGCATGCAGGAAATCATAGTGGATTCACTACTGGGTGTAGCAGAGCACAAACCACACCACAACTACAAAGGCTGTCACAGCAAACACCCTCATACTGGTAAGCTGAGAAAAGCTCAATGTGCAAGGGCACGTGGGCTTGAGTCACTACAGCATGCAGTGGACAAGGCCGCTGTGTCCCCTGTTTATAGTGCTACAGCTGAAATCTTCATTCACTCAGGAACAATTGGCCAAAGTTTGAATGGACTTGTCAATAACCCAGGTACAGGTTAAAATTTCAGGATACTTACAAGCAGTAAAGGTTGGCTATTTGTCATCACCCACCTGGCCTTGTTTCCAGCACTCCCTGAAGATCTTCCAGTTGTTTTTGTTGCTAGGATCATGAAGGCAAAGGAGTCTACCATCACACAGCCAAGAGTGGGAAGTGTGGGGATCCAGCACATTTAAGCCCATTACCATTTCCTTCACCTCTCTCTGTGTGTCAGCTAAATTACTAGCTCGTTTTGCCGCATCAGATGTCTTCTTATTTTCCACCACAGAAGCAATGATATGGTCTAAGAAGTTAGGCAGGCTGGCTTTACCTTTGGCCCCCTAAAAGATGTAAATCCAGAGGTAAGTTTAGTCTTACAACAGCATACATATTAATGCCTATCTGCTCTCATTCAGATTTTGGTCACGGACATCTTGCTATCAGAAAAACATGCAACAGGAAACAAATCAGCCCAGAGACAGGCATGTATCCAGTAAGAACAGAAACAGCTATGCCCCTGTTCTATAATAGTAAAACTTAAAATAACCTGCTGTAGGCTATCTAGAAAAATATTACAGCAACAATCATGGAATAGAAAACTTAAGTGATCTAAACTCTGCTACTTTAATGGTAAAAATGGTTCATATTTTTCTTAACTTCATTAATACCTCAACTCTATTTCCCAATTTTCCTCATTCCATTACTAAGAAAGTGAATTCAACCCTGGCACAGATAAGCTGAGGAAGACGGGAACATTAAGTAAACACTGACAGACAGAGAGGAGAAAGTGCTTCCTGTACATATAATGTTAATAGAACCATTAGTAGACAGCCTCTCTGACTGTGGCATCCATGCTCCTCAGGGATGCTTAAAACTCCTCAAAAGGATGTTTAAAATTTGGAAGAGATTAACAACACAATCTTAAATTGTGTTCTTACCTTTAAAAAAAAAAAAAAAAGCCTGCCTATAGGCCTTGCCTATAGCAAGATACTTAAGATGCTAAATATATTTCATATATTCAACAGAAGATAAAACACTAACTGGATCATTATTCACAAGACATCTATGGGAGAAGGCAGCAGTGTGAGACTTCTGGTAGCAAAATGCTTCTCATTCTAGCCAAAAAACCCAACCAAAAAAATGACGAC